TTGTAGGTCTCCCTAGAGTGGATGCGGTATTATGGTGCATGGAGGATCGATTGGTGACGGACGAGTTCTTATGGTGAATGAGTAAATTGTAATGTATGAACGGGTCGCGAATGAAATTAGCTAGGTATAAGACAGTTAGTGAAGACCAGCCTTTTACCCCCTCCCCCTTTTCGGCCTTGTGCCACAATTTTGTATTTAATACAAAATAAATATCTATCCCTCTGTAATCCTACCAAGCAGACAGTAAATATCTTCATTGGATACAGGCCTGCTTTAACCATAGGCTCTGCACATTCACAAGTTTGTTTCCAGCTCCATTATCATAAATGATCCATTTTTAATTTCCCGTCTCAATTCTAACCAAGAATGGTTCCTTTTCATGGCGTCTGAAGAGCAGTTGAGATATTGACTTTCAAATTCTTAGCAATCTCTTCCATCTAAATTTTTGGTTTATTCTTCACAATGACAAGCAGAGTGTCTTCAATGCTGAAAGGTTGTCTGTAGCATGGTTTAATCAGTAAGGTTAAAATCAAATTAACAAAGGCTATCAAACCACTTTTTGGCCTCTGAAGAGCTGGAGTACAATCTAAATGAAATATCTGAATGCCTTTTGCCACAGTTCCAACACTTACTCCTTTCTGAAATTCACAGAACATAATACAGCAAAAGTGCAACTTTTTATCTTCCCAATTTAAGGCGTTGTAGACAAAACATTAACATTCAATAAAATCTGACATGCAACTGAACAATGCACGGTTTCAATCTAGAATACACGTGACACTGGCACTAAAGCAAATGCCAAATTGTGGCCATTTTAACAATGAAATCATTTGATAGAAGCAGATTAACACTTTATATTGCTTTAATCAAAAGAAAATTCCGTTACTGTCAGATTTTATTAATGTGTTTTGGTCACTTCACTGTTCATAACTTATGTCAAGAGGCCATATCACACTGGTTCTTGCCTGATCACCAATGTTGAGCCTGGTCAATAGTTAGGTGATAACTTAAGCATACCAGGTGCTGTAAGCTTGGATGTGCAGGTGGTGTAATGGATAATGGCTCAGAATGAGAAATTAGAGAGTTGAGTTTCAATTCCAGTTAGGTTTGTCTTATGCACAAATATTCTTGGAAAAGGTATGAATCTCCCCCTCCCACCAGGTTAAATAGTAGGATTTGTATCAAAAATTGTTTTCTATTATCTGTAGAAAGGAAACTAGCTTAACTCCTGGAACAAAACATGCATGCAAGGTACTTGGAATAAAACATGGCTGATCTAAAAGCTACAATTTAAGAAAAACCTGATCTCATTCTCAGAGAATTTGCAAGATGAATTTGTGGCTTATGCAAATCTCTGAGCCTCAGCCACTCAATAAAATGTGCATAAACTAGAGAACAGCAGAGGCCGGTAAGTTGGGTGGTCGTGCTTCATGTGTGGAGTCGTGTGGTAGTTTCACTGATTGTGACTATAAAAAGACTGGGTACAACTGGTACTTCAAACAGACTTACCTTTTTGCCACATTATCTAAAAACAAAAATTTTTACAATCCCAAAACATGTCCAGCCTTAAGAGTTTGAAAAAACAAAAAAAAACACAAATCAATCAATTCAAAATGATATGATCATGCAACAGAAGATTGGCCTTCTCTAAAACCTAATACATTTTTAAACTTTCATGACAAGAGGTAACTTCTAGCAAGATCTAAACAGGTAATATCTTCTGCCTCATTGTATAAATGATTTTCTTAGTCCTCACTCCAATTACTATATCAGTGAAATGGAAGCTATGCAGAAAATGTACAAGATTTGTTGATTTGCATGTAGAAGGAATAAGTGAGAATGAAATTGATCTATTTGAAGAAGCTGAACTTAAGAAAAGGAATGAAAAAAAACTGGAAATAGAGTTAAATCATCAAGAAGGATTTGAAACATTAAAAATATTAAAGACTTTTGTATAAATAGAAAAACTAATATCGAAAGAAGTATCAAAAGTGTAGCAAATTGGGTTGTAAGGAGAAAAAATCTAACTTTGGACAAATATTTTGAAAATATTTATGTAATTAGAAAATAAATATATTCTATATATTTGTCTGTTTACATGTGTCCAGCTTAAACTACAATATTTAGACCATATATATTCTGACTCAGCATGTTTAAAGGAAGGTTTTGATCATTTATTTCTGTACTCTTCATATAATTTGTAATAGTATTAGAAATATTTAAAAAAATGCTGATATTTTGACATTTCCAATTTAATCTCCATGTCATTCAATTATTTTTAAAATAAAGTGGCAAAGTCAATGAATTGATGAATATACCATACTTTTTTGTTTAATAGAGGAAATTTCTAAAAATTATTATTCTATTTTATAAAAAAAAAAAAAACTAAACTTTTGATAAATTTATTTGTATACATAAGTCATTTAATTATTTAAAAAAAATAAACAGAATCATTTTATTTAATAAAGGGCTTATTTCCACATTTTATTCATTAGAACAATATTATGCATTAAAAATAAGTCTTAAAAATGATTGAATTAAAAAGAAAAAAAAGTACATAAATAAATTGTTTATCAAAAAAAACCTTGGAAGATGCTAAATCAAAATACATATGGTTTTAAGCATCTAAATATTGAAGTTTAAGCCAGACATACATGCACAAAAGATTTAAAACATTTAATTCTTTATATATATATATATATATATATATTAAAAAAAAAAAGCTATGACAAATGTTTTACCTACCATTCCTATCACAAATACAATTAAAAGAATTTCTCTAAGCTTAATATAAAATTTGCTATAACTGCTCCTAAGACAATAAAAGACTTAATACAAAACAATGCATTTGTTCCTCACCATAATGAGCCTGGCCATAATTTTGATTTAAAAAATGCTAATCTAATTGGAATTGAAAGCAATTTGCTATGACGAAAAGGGTTAAAAAAGGGTTTAAATATCAAGTCATCCACAGTAAATTCATGTCCAGGTTCTTATAACATTTCACCTTTTTTGCAAGATCTATTATCACAATTTGGGATATTTAATAATGAAAGTTATAAAAACAAAGAAACAAAATTAAATTGGAAGACTATATACCCAAATACATACTAAAAGAAAAAAAAAAAAAAAAAAAAAATTTAAAATTTCAGCATCCCATCTTTCATGCACATGTAATCATATCAATGTAAACATCACTTTAGTTTGATGACATCCTAAAGGTGGAATGTGTCACATGAAAAATGTTTTCCACTTTGTTGTGAGTTTTCCTAACATTATTATTAGTATTGTTCATTATGAATTTATACATTTTAATGTAATACATTTGCGCTGCTTGGTAGCCTAGTTATGAAATAAAGGAAAAATATCAAAATTATTTTTTATTAACCTTAACAGTTGACATTACATGCAACTAAAAGAGATTATTCAAAATATTTTTCTAAGTTTTACTGTGATCTGAAATAAAGGGATTATTTGTAATCCTTCCCATTAATTCCAGGAATTTGTCTAATGAAAGGAAAAATTAGGACATTCTGGGCATATCTGATTATAACACAACCCGGTGGTTGATTCTAGATCAGGCTGGTCAACAGTGACCAGGTGTTCTGATTCTTGCCAATTGCCGTCTATAGCAGAAGATGTTGCTGCTCAGGGTCATAGGATGACGAATGTCAATCCCATGTTGTTTGATAAAGCAGGTTTTGTCTGTATATTCAAGTTTATTTTGTCTCTTAAATCTCTTGAATTTAATTCATAGAAACAAGGCTACAATTGTGAAATGTCGAGCTGCACATTGGAAATAAAGCACAAAATTTCACAATTTTGTTCATTGGCATTAGATTTTTTTTTCATTTATTGTAATTGATTCACAGACAGAAAATGAGAAATTTGGCAAACTTGAACTTTCATGGCAGCAAAAAAAAAAAAAAAAAAAAAAAAGTGTCAAAAGGATGTTTTTTTTTTTCACTGGCACTGCTATTATTTCAACTCCCTTCACTCTTTGGCAATGTTTATTGTTTTAGAAAGCGACGATTGGAATTTTAATAAAACCTAAGATAGAATGAAAGGGAATTTATGTTTTTTTTGTTCTTAAGAATTTACAAAAATATTAAACATTTTATTTATTTGAAACACTTTTCTATTCAGAAATTTTAAAACATTTATTTAAATATGTAAACCAACTATCAGGAAATTCTTATTATTACCATTTTATAAAGTTTGGATCCATTGGCTATTAGCCAATATTTTGCCAACCATTCCAATAAACACTAATAAATAAATAGTTTTGATTATTTTTGTTGTCAATTCAAGGCTTTTACAAAATGAATATTTTTCTCTGACAAGCTTCAAAAGACAATAGTCAAAAGCAGATATTATGTTTAATCAAAGTTTACTTTTTTAATGTCATGTAGACAATCATCCCTCTCCATTGATTCCTTTTCTTTATGATCTTTGAATTGTTGTGCATTTTGGAGAAAGATATGTGGGCTTTCCCAATATTTTTTCCCATGGTTTTGAGTTTTCTGTTTGCCATCCAAAGCTAGAAAACCCATTTTACCTTGCTATTTAACCCATAGTTAAGAGTAAATGGATCCATGACTTTCTCAAGGGCATCAGCCTGAATTATCAATCAATATACATTGAATGTGAGCTGAACACTGATGTTCCCAATGTCTTTTTGAAAAATTTAATATGGTGTAACTAATGCAGGAGGTGAAATGTCTTTTTGGTGCATATTTTTTGTTTTTAAATCCAATTTCTTTTCATTTCCTTCCAAGATGACATGATATGAAATTACTATATACAATCTCCTATAGTATTTTGCCTCAGAAGCAGAATATCATCTTTACTTGGAAGATTGGCACAACACAATCTTACTAACTTCCATTTTTTTTTCTGCATTTGTATTCAATGAAGTCTCTGTGAATAACACCACCAGAAGAAACTTGGAATATTAAATATCCCAAAATATCTAATCTCAATCTGTTCAGTTTTTGCTTTCAGATTGAAAAGAAAAAAAAAGAAGAATCCTGAAGTATAAAGAAAAACTTTTCCCTAATTTTGTTGAAGTTCTTCATATCTGAAAAAGATTTTCTGTTATCGATAGAAATTGTTCTTTTTGTTCAGGTTCATTTACTGAAGATTTTTTGCATATAAATCTGTTGAAGAAGCTTTTCTTTGGTTGAGGTGAACGACCACACTTTACTTCATTGACTAAAGGTCGTTCTTTGAACAAGGGAATATTGGCACAGTGAAGTTCTACTGCATAAACAAAGTTTCTGAAGTAAGTGAGAGATTTTGAAGAATATACAATAGGAACGCGATTATTGTTCATGGTTTCATAAATAGTGTTAATTGTACATTCGTTAATTATTTTGTGGCATTTCATTTGTTCCAGCAGTTGGTGGACAAGTTCAATCAATTCCTGATCTTCCAACTCCTTTTTCTTCTTATTTTTCTTCTTCGTTGAAAAAGATCGCTGAACAACTTCCAATAATTTATCAACAGATTTTGTCATTTTTAAATCCACTGTGTATTCTGAAGTTACTGAAAAATTAGCAAACAAAAAAGTGAACATGACTGGAAATATTGGAACAATTCATAACATAAATTAATTTTTTGTCAAATTAGTAGACAAGCTGATGCATGTGTTTTGCCTTAAGTGCAAAAAAAAAAATAAAAACAAATAAAAAAAAAAATGGATAGAAACAAAACAAAGTAAAAAATCATGATAAAAAGCTGCTTTCTTTCCCTGCATAAAGCCAAATAGCAATTAAGCTTATTTTTATGCATATGTCCCATTCTGGGCATATCTGACTATAACACAACCCAGTGGTTGATTCTAGATCAGGCTGGTCAACAGTGACCAGGTGTTCTGATCCTTGCCAATTGCCGTCTATACCAGATTTCTTGCTGCTCAGGGTCATAGGATGACGAATGTCAATCCCATGTTGTTTGATACTGCTGTGGTTCAACGGTCGTTGGTCGCTGTCCACTTCAGTAACCACCCTGCTCCGCTCACACAGAGTTTCTTGATCACAGGGCTGGTAGGGATTAATTAATCAGCAGTATCGTAGCACTGATTCAAAATATGGCGTACTGTGCTATGATGAAAAGAAATAGAAATGTCTTTGGCAGGCATAGTAAAAATGAAAAAAAAGTCTTCAGATCAATTTTCAATTCAGTTTATGCAGCTCTTGGTAATAACAAAAATTAATTCTTCCTAGTAAAATCTTTTTATTGACACTTTTGCCTATCTGGGCGAATTTCTTGGAACAGGACTCAAAGTCAAGAATTCTCTTAGCAGTAGGTCATGTCTTGTCTTCTGTCTGCAACTACAATTGCCTGGGTTGCTTGAGCACTCCACTTATATTGACTGATTCAAAATCAGAGTGGGAGCTGATGAGGTTTGAGAATTTGGGGTTTCTACAGGTTTTCTGTAATGATTACAACAAAGGTCCTTTGTTGTCTGGTATGTAATATTTGAGATTTGTGATGTCCCCTCTTCCTACAGGTAGTGGTTACCTGTATCATGAATTCCTTCTCTTATCTATGACTTGCACCATTATTCCCAAATGGGCGGAGATAATTTCTCAGTCTCTCTTGGTATCTCATCTAACCCCACCATCTCAGTTGTTTCTCTGACAATTTCAACTTTCAAACTGCATAGGCAGAAAGTCAGTCTCAACTTTTAGTTATTAATTGTACTTATCTTTTTAATTTTCAGTAATAGTAACAATGAACCTTGCAGGTCCATTCCCTATCTGAATTCCTTTAATGCAGGATAAAAGTCTAAGGTTGGTGAGGCCCTTTCTGCCTGATGACAGATAGGCATAAGCCACTTTATTGATTCTAACGTTGTCCCCAAAATTATCAAATATTATACTCAAGTGAGTCCTTCTTTCTTCCTGGTAATCATGAGACATGGTCTCGTCACTTATGCTTTTAGGCAAGCAGACAAATCTATATGTCATCTCATGCTTTTAACCCTCTTTGTCTGTTCCAAATTTACCCATTCTTTTCCTTTTTACCAGTGTCACGTGATAACTGAAATAGTTACAAATGCATCAGTGTTCAAGCCAAGGCCACAATTTAAAATCCTAATTCACAATATAAGACAGTGACACAAACCATCAAAAGATATTCATCAGATATCTTTGCAGGCAGCATCTGTTGGTAAACATTTGTAGAGCCTGTCCTATTTTGTCAATCTTGAACTAAGATTAGCTTTTACAATTATTATTTTTTCTATTGTAATTCTGTTTGTTCGTTAGCCTGTACATTACACCATGCCTAACACCTCATAAATAATGCACTATTCTGTTTTGATTATGTAGAAAGATGGAAAAATCACATCAGAGATGCTGCTTGGTTTCAATGAAAGAAAACGTTCTCATGTGCTTCAATGAAAAGGAAACACTTGTCCATTTTAAATGTTTACATTTGTACCTTCTTTAAATAATGACCTGCATTTATACCTATGATTACTATTGCAATATCTTATGCTTAAATATTTACAGATACAATAGAGGAATTTCCACAAGCATTTTACAGAAGCAAAATTTGCAAGTGGCTTATGAAGGTTGTTCATAAAGTTCTAAGCCTCACCCAGAAAGAACATTTTACTTGTAGCAACACACTACCATTTCTGATAAAGACTAGAAAAAGAAACTAATTCAGATTTCTGTCTTAATTTCTGTGCAGGTGAGGCCCATACAAAGGTGAGAGGTGTGCAACAAATCTAAAAATAGACAAAACTGCCTGAGCAGTCACAGTATCTACAAAAAAAAGGTGTGACAATCAAGGAAATCAATGAAGACATGGTACAGGCACTGGCTGAAGACTCCTCTTCCTATGCAACTGCGAAGAAGTGTGCTGTGGAATTCAAGTGGGGCAGGGACAGCACAGAATTTGACCCTCAGTCAGGTCATCCAAAAACATCAATCACTGATGAACAAGTTGATGTCATTCATCGTATGGTTTTGGATGACAGATGTCTTACTATCCAGCAGATAGCTAAGTCCACAGACATTAGTTCTGGTTCAGTCCATATTGCCATTGACAACAGATAGTGACAATTATGGTGTTATTTTTCTTCTCTCCTCAAGACATATCTCATGGAAATCACAGCAAAAAGAACCACCTTCCTGCCTCAATCTGTCTTTCTCCAATATTCGTTTTATCCATTCTGACTTCTGCAGGTATAGAATCTTTTTTCCAGGAACGGTCACCAGATATCTTTGCTCTTTATGAAACCAACTTGAATTCTTCCATTATTACCAATGAATTCTTGGTTCCAGGGTATCTTCCCCATTGCCAAAAAAAATTCCCATATTCACATGCATGGCATTGGTGCTTACATCAAAGATAATCTTTCGGGGACCAGAAAACTGTCTCTTGAGGCTGCTGACTACATTTTCATGTGCTTCCATCTTTCGCTACTAAACTCTCAGCTCTTTTTTTCCTTTATTGCTCCCTGTCTTCCCAAGACTGCAATATATTAGACACAACAGCTGACAGTATAGAAAAGGCACTTTCTCTCCATCCATCTGCAAACATCTTCGTCTTTGGTGACTTTAAGGCTTATCACAACACATATTGATGTTGTCGGTATACAGACATAAAATTTTTCATGGTCCAATCCCTCACTCAAGTCATGGACTTCCCTCTTTTCCCTAGAAAAACCGAGCAACAGGCTTATCCACTGAATCTATTTCTTACCTCCTCTCCTCACTCTTGCCAACCTTCACAATATTGCCCGCTTGATAATTTGGACCATTCTGTAGTAGCTATTGATATCTCCTTCCAACCATCCATTAAACAGGAACCCCCTATTTATAAGACCTTTTCGTTACCAGTATTCTGATTGGGACTTGTTCTGGGATTTTCTGTGTGACACCTCTTGGACTAACATCTTCAGCCTTCCAATTGAAAAGGTTTCTTCCTCAGTCAAAGCTGGCATGGACACTTGCTTCCCTTCTTGGGAATACCAGGTGAAACCACAATCCTCTCCATGGTTCACACCAGCTTGCTCAGCCGCCATGGCACACAGGAATCACTATTTCCGGCTATACCAGCATGACAGATCTCATCATAACAGGTACCTATTTGCTGCTGTTTGTAACAAATGTAAGAGTCCTTAAAGGAGCTAAGTCCTTGTTTACTGAGAGAAAGAGGCAATGCATAGCCACTAAAATCTTTGGCTCTCATGATTACTAGGATACTAAATAAGCAAAATCGATTGAAGAGGGGGGGGATAAGAGACCTTGCACAAGGTCTCTACACCCCCATCTCAATGGATTTTGATGTGTTATCATCCTCTGTTGATAAAACTGAATGCTTTGCCCATAAATTCTCCTTAAACTCTACTCTTAACTCATCTGCAGTATCCCTGCCTAACTTCTCATTTAGAACTGAATCTCTATTGAGTGATATGCATATAATCCCTTCTTTGGTTTCTGCTATCATCTCTAACCTTGATCCCCACAAAGCATGTGAACCTAATGGCATCCTTGTAATAGTCATTAAGAAGTGTGCTCCTGAACTAGTTGAACCTGTTGTTTCTAAATTGTATAATAAAAGACTCCTGCTTTTCATCTTGCTGGAAGATATCGTCTGTTGTTTCAGTTTTTAAGAACACCTTTGAACCGTCTGATCCATCTGTGGGCCTATTAGATTTCTACCCCTTTTTCAGAAACTCGTAGAGGCCCAATTCAATGGTGAATTAGTTCATCATCCAACATCACAGGGTCTTTTCTCAGACAAGCTATAATGGCTTTTGTTTCTCCAGGTCAACTTCTGATGTATTAATGAGAATTGTGGAAAGAGTCTATCATGCTCTAGATAAAAGCTGTAACATTGGACATCTCAAAAGCCTTTGACAGGGTCTGGCATCCAGGTCTTCTCCACAAGTTAAAAAGTTACGGTATCTTCAGCACATTTTTGAACTAATCCAATCATTCCTATCAAATCATGAAATGAAAGTTGTCCTGAACAGACACTCGACTACATCCATTCATACTAACGCAGATGTTCCCCAGGGCTCCATCTTTGGTCCTACACTGTTTTTAATTTTTATTAACGACCTTCCTAATGACATTAGTATTACTCCTGCCTTGATACTAACGCTGCTCAATCAGAAAAGGTCAAAATGGTAGCTGATGTACAAAACAACCTCAAGACCATTGTTAACTGGGGCAAAAGATGGTCTCTCAATTTTAACGTTTCCAAAACTAAATTTCTCACCATTAATCATCTGAGAGACCCTTCTCTGCCTTCCATCATCATGGCTGATGCTATTCTCCAGGAAAGTGACTTATTCCCAGGCTAACATGAAATGTAAAGACTATATCAAATCTATTGCTAGGTCAGCTGCTAAGAAAGTCAGTTCACTGTGTTGGGCGTGACAATTCTTCTATCCTGAATCTATCTTGCATATCTATGTCTACCATTTGTCCATGTTTAGAATATTGCTGCCATATATGGACCGGTGAGCCTGCTATTTACCTGTAGCCCCTTTGTAAGATCCAAAGAATCATCAGCAATAT